GTGGGTGTGGGTGTGGGGGTGGGGTGTGGGTGTGGGTATACCTGTTGATCATGTGTTGACCCACACCCACACCCACACCCGCACATGCCCGATCCAAAAGCGATTTGACAGTTGGATATGTTCCCCCGTAAGTTATACGGGATACATATAAGCGTACAGGTATAGCGGTATAGTCTTAAGAATATAAATATAAGGAAATAAATATCGGGGTATAGACATAAGCCAATATGTATAAGGATATCAGTATAAGAGTATCATTGAAAGACTATAGGTATAAGGGTACAGTTGTAAGGGTATATATAAGGACATATTTTAAGGATTTAGAATGAGAGTATAGATGATATTATACTGTGACATTGAACAGCATCTAAGATACAGAACCTATTGGTACAAACTAAGAAAGGTTTAATGATGAACCATTTAAATGTTGTAATACTTTATACGCAGGACAGAACCATTCTTAATAAAAAATCAGAAATGATGTCGTCAATTCATTACGGAACCCTTTTTGGGGGTTCTGTCGAGTACCCAACTGCAGAACCCCCACAAAGGTTCTGCAAAATTCCTTTCCTTTTCGAGCAGGAACTCATCGAACAGAAGAAATTATCTAGTAGTACTACCTGCAACGAAACTATTCGTATTAGAAGCCCAATGCTAAACAAAAGTATTGAGTTCAAGCGAGTTACACCATTTTTAAGTTATTATTTTGTCACATTGCAAAACTTCTATTGATTTTATAGCGAAAATAAACAGAGAACGAATTTCAAACAAGAACAGCTGTCTCTTGATCATACAATATACATGCATCATTGTCTTCATGCCTGAATGGCTTTGAATAGTTTTACTGGTTCCGCACATTCTTCTACTTAAAGATATATCACTATACCGTATATTGATTATGAAAATTTGTGGATGACTAAACGCATCCATGATGAGGGTGCCAGACATATTTAGCAGCGTTATGGGTGCCTTTGAAAAGTATGTAACGCAATGCATAACAGTTGCTTCTATCTGCGTATTTTTCATGTAGAGGCGGGGTTGTACTGACCAGGAAGCTGACTCTCAATTTTGGAAAATGTTCACTTTTTTCCCAATGGAATTTAAGCGATTTTTCGCTTACACTAATCATGCTGCCAAAGCTTGATGAACGCTTTAAAGGAAAAACGGTCGACTCCTCCTCCAACCATGGTCACTTCGCGAGAGTCCTGCATAGCGGGACAAAGAGTTAACCTGGGCACATGATTCTCATCTACAAGTGAGAATTTGAAGATAATTTAAGTGGGTTGGTTGAATAAACTTTTAGCGTTGAAGGCTAAATTCAAATAAAGTCGTCTTTCAACTTGTAAAAAGATATTTTGTGTCATCCGATATTTTCGACATTCCACACGGAGTGTTATGCCGAATTACTTCTGAAATTCATATATATTTCTTCTAGATTCTCAATCAGAAGGACATTCTCGTTTGATTTTTACGTTCTTCATCACAATTGAGTCAAATAGGTAAGCTGCTACTTTAGTTTCTTGATCGATGTACAGTATATGTACTTTGTTTCAAATATTTTTCAAGTTTGTCGCTCTGTACAGAAATCAATTGTGAACTATGAGTTTTTCGATCAAAATAGTCAAAAACTGTCCTTGAAAACCTAAATCGATCGAAAAAGTTGAAAAGCATATATAGAGTCGTTATTCCAACGGCAAAGCTCAAATTCATGCTTGAACTCGATTGATCAATTTGACTTACACAGAAAGTTAGAGTTTGATTTTGAGTTCAATTGAAATGAATTTACCGTATTACCTCTATCGTCATTCACAAGTACAATCAATTATGAACAACCGAATACTATTTTCTTTATCGTTTGACTCATCAACAACGGTACCAGTAAGAACGGTTTCTTTTATTCTGCTGAGCAAGATTCTCCGTTTTTTGAAAAAATGAGAGAGACTAACTTGACATAAGATCCAAAACTTGTGACAGGAAGCGCCTAATATGGGTGTGGGCGAAGGCAAAAACTACTCCAACACAGACACCACGAAAATAATATACCTTCGCCACTGCATTTGGGTATCCCAGTACTTTACATTTCATATATTCGTGATTAAAAAATATTTCGCTGTGGTTTTCTCGAATATGAACAATGAATTAAAAGTTGATTACAAAACTTTCCGTCTTTTTCACTTTAATATAGATGAAACAGCAAATTTTGTTCAAATATATTGTCCATTATAATAGTAATTAAGTTGCATGAATTTTTGTATTCAATAATTTCTAAAATCGTTTTAACTTAAAAACAACGCATGGATAATTTCTTTTAATTTTTAATTTTGTTCCTGATTAACAAATGTATGTTTATTATAAATAAAAGGGTTTGTGCTAACGAAAATGTTAATATTTTAAATAGATACAAACGATAAAGAATAAGGTTTCATTTCTCGTTTCACATGAAAAAATGTCTCCAACAAGCAAGAGTAAATGAAAGAATTTTCTCGAAAAACCTTATTCAATGTCATCACTCATGATGATCAAAAGCTCGGTTGTGTCTATGCAAAAAAAAAACACTCACGTGTATTTTAATGAAGCGAAGAGAAAGAGAATGATATAAATATTGCATTCATATGTACGAAAGAAAAAAAAACTACTTAATGTTTCTTGTTGATTGAGGCTATTCTTATTTTAAATCAAGAATGAGAACATTGTACTTGTACTGTGAAGCCGAATTTTCTTTTTCTTTTCTTTCTTAGATGAACTACTAGTAGAGCCTACCGAGTTCAATATTTTTGTACTTGATTCATTTTAAATTTTTTCATATTCTGTCCGAACTCATAGTATTCTCAATCAAATTTTTCAATCAGTCTAAATAGTGATCCCTAAGATACGATATACTTCTTTCGCTTATTCAGATGTAGTAACTAGCAGATCCCACAGAATTTTCAGAGCACCGTGACGACGATCGTATAAGAATGTGATTATATTTGGCTTTTGCTGGTAGATGATTGATCACGAGTTGTATATTGCTATGATTTGATCCATTCATATATTCTTTGGTTTTTTTTTGCGTTCTTCTCAGTTAAATACACATGGTATCGTTATCGTCAAAATCTTCGATAAAAAATATAAGCGATACAGAGAGAAAGAGAAGAGGTCGTCAACGAGTTTCTTTTACTACTTGTAGTAATTTCTTTTTGTCTTGTTCGTTTTTCTTTCTCTTTTATATATTGTTGGTGAGCGTCATTATTTGTGTTCTATTGATTGATTGTCATAGCTTGCCATGCCTATGAAAGCAAAAAAAAAAACTCAAGGTCCAAGTCTTTATAAAACGTTTGTCGATGCTTATATGAAAGCTCGACCTAATGAAAGACGAGATGTAAGTTCATTTTTTTAATGAATATAAATAATTGGACTTATTTTGTTGAAATAGGTAAAACATCGTAATGCTCAACTTGAATGGAGTGAAATAAAATGGAATGAAGAATATGTTAAAGAAAAAATGGAGGAATATTTAGAAATATATAATGAACTTGGTACATCTTCTGATCAAGGTCTTGAACGCATGCCAGTGCCTAATTCTTCAAAGCAATCAAAAACTACTCGAAGTCGACCAGCAAAAAGAATTAAGACAAATGAAACAAATGAAAGAATGAATCAAGATAATAATGAAAGTAAAAAAGATGATGAAGAACCGAATAATATTGACGATCTTCATGATAATGATGATGATAAAGATGATGACCATGACGATGATGTTGATAAAAATAATCAAGGAAAAAATAAGGTACTAGATTATCGTATTAAAAGACGTAAACCAATTCCTGTAGAATTGATTGAAGATCTACGTGAATTACCACCTTTAGGTAAAATTCCATTAGAACCATTATCAAAAACCAAACGGCAACCAGCACAAGAACGTGCTTATAAAGAACTAAGTACTATTAATGATCGAATTGCTTCATTAGTACAAGTTAAACAAATGGGTTTATTAACAGCAGAAAATAGAAAACAATTAAAACAATTATTTAAAGATAGACAAACAAAAACTTTTGAAATTAAACGTCTTCAATCAAAACAGAGATCTTCAACTAGATATAAAGATAGACGAAAAAGGATTGTAAATAACAGATGTTTTTTTCTTGTTTCTTCTTCTTTTTACTTGATTACTTATAGGTTGATCGCTTATTTGAAACAAAGCCTGAACTACATCCACAATTAAAAAAACTCTATCGTCCTGGCACTGGTCGACCCCGTGTTGAAGAACAATGTCCTGATTTATTACAAATAATTGAAGAAATTGCAAAAGCTGGTGGAGCAAGTGATGATCGAAGACGATCAGCAACTATTCGACCTTGTTTAACATTAGATGATTTAAGAGAAAAAATAAAACAACGAGGTTATGATATTAAAAGAACAACACTTTATTATCGGTAAATAACTAAAATTATATAAAAAAGGCAGTTTTCATTAATTGTATCATCACTTTTCGAATCATCCTATACATTTGCTTATTTTCAACATATTCTAATACAAGAAAATTAGCCCCGTTCTTGCTAGTAATCTTTATGAAATAAGAAAAAAATAATTTTCAAAAAGATCATAATTTTGACAGCAATCTATCTTGTTCATTTCGCATTGAATATCTAAGAAAAAGTATATGAGTGACTAAGCTAGACATTTTTTTTCAAATTCATGGACACTTTTTGACAATTATTTTCAGTTCTATGATGACAACATTTTTTGCTAAATCCATTTCTACTACTAGATTTTTGACTTTCTTTTGAAAATTTGGAAAAAGAAAACCGGTATCGTTTCATGTTTGCAAATCTGATAGTTAGAGATGTGGTGCCATTCTAAATATTTAAAACTTAATACGATTGCTTTTTGTTTGAATGAAGACAATTGGGAGAATATATATGTGAACAAAGCTAAAGCGCTTGTTTATAATTATATTCGAAGTAAATTTGATGATAAACTATATCGGTTTCAAGCTTCAAACATTTTCGTTTTCTAAGCATTGCATAGGGGATTCTTCTTTACTCAATTCTACACGTGTTCTTTGACGGGTATACTTGTTATTTCATGTAAACTAAATGAATTATACATCGACAGACAGGCATTAGAAAATACTTCAAGAAACCTATATAATAATGATATATTGAGAATGTAGAAGAAAAAACGGTTTTTCTTTGAAATATCGGTTGAATACTATCATAAATTGGCACTAGGATCTCGTTTAAATCATTCTATGAACTGGACTTTATGTCAATCGATACAGTTTTTCATGAATTATTATTCCATGTATAATTTGAATATATTTGGAGTAATGAAATTTTTGTTTTGTCCGATGTTCAGCGATTTCTACCGTAATAGTTAACTTTTTTTATGGCTTTTTATCAAAAAAAAAACATGTGTAAAATTGGATAATCGAGGAATCTCATATGTAATATTTAGAAACTTCAAAATGTAATCAGGTCTTAAACTTGTAAGCATCTTGCAGAATCATTTATAAAATACAAGACATCACTTCTATAATCATGTTCTTTATTTCTATATGAAAAAAAAATCATTAAAATTTAATTGAACTGATTTCTCCACAAACCATTACCCGTCCTTTGAGTTACATTAGCCTTTTTCATTTTGGAAACAATTCTGTTAAATTAACAAATTTCCAACCGATTGGATGGTGAATTCTCATGTTTAGAATTTTCATTGAACTTGATGAACACTGAAATTCATCACGCTTAAAATTGAATCAGCCTAAGAATATCCAAAAAAAAATGATTCTCAACTGTCTCAGATTTTTTCTAGCTATGAAGTTTTCATTTGAATTCAAGATCTTAAGCTCACGTTTATTAGAAACTTGAACTCAATAGTAAAAGCTTCATCCGTAACAAAAAAATACATATCTATTACGCAGAAATATGTATGATCTTCTAACAGCAACTAGGATTTATTTGTTGGTGACTGTATCACCAAAGAAGTTTTTCGAAGAGCAGCCGATCGTTCGTTTTATACTCATTTGTTGAATTTATAAAATAAATTATAAATAATGTTGATTAAAAATGATCTTAATAACATATCGACCTAAATAAAAGCTTAGTGCATGCTATTGCGATCATCATTATATTTAGATTTGCCTCAAACCTAAGTTTGTGCAAATTTGATTAGAAAATAGATTAGGATTCAAACAAGCACTCTATATGTGTATGATATATATATGTCCACTTGCTTATTGCGTAATTAAGTATTTTTTTTGTCGTAACTTTAACTTTATATTGTTGCTTATGGGTGAGTGTTCAAAAATGAAACACTATTTTTGAAGAAAATATCTGCAATTACTGTTGAATGTGATCGCGCAGTTCACCAAAAATCGCTTTCTGGAGATGACTGCTTACGCTGCTCTCTTAAGACTGGTGTCATTTGAAAAGTTCATTATTACATTTCGATTAATCTAACTATGAATATGTACTAATACGAGTCTTCTTTTTCTTAAATATTTAGTCTTTTACCTCATCGTGCATCATCAATAGATGGTCGTCGTCATGTTTATACTGCTCCAGTTCGTCTTCGTCGTGCTCAAAATGATGATCATGGAAGACATGAAGATGGTCATTTTGCTACAGCAACAATACGTTATGCGAAAGATTTAGCTTCAATATTTGGCAATGATTGTGTTTTTTATCTATCTCAAGATGATAAATGTAAAGTTCCATTAGGTTTACCTGCAGCTAAAATTCAAGCATCAATGGTAATGCATTTGAATTACCGAATACGTTTACCAGATCATGATTGGATAGTTGCACCTCGACATCAATTAATACCAAGTGTATATGCAGCATGTCTTTTATCTGAAGATGGAGATTTAGGTTATTCAGGTCCAACATATATAGCCATACGTTCATCTAAACATGATCTATCAACTGCTGTTTCTCATGCATTAGATTTTGATCGTCTTGTTTGCTTAAATGAATTTGAAAATGTAGCACGTGATGAAACTGGACAAGTTAAACCAATTGTTATTGTTACTGTTGATGGTGGTCCCGATGAAAATCCACGTTTTCCAAAAACACTTGTTTCAAGTATTAGAAAATTTAAGAAATATAATTTAGATGCACTTTTTGTTCTTACACATGCGTAAGTTAATAGATTTCAATATTAAAAACAAAAAGATTTTTGAATGTACTTTTTTCTGAGTCCTGGTCAATCAGCTTATAATATAGTTGAACGTCGTATGGCTCCATTATCTCATGATTTAGCTGGTCTTATATTACCACATGATTATTTTGGTTCACATTTAACTGAATCAGGTGTAACAACAAATGTTGATTTGGAAAAATTAAATTTTCGTAAAGCTGGACAAATCTTAGCTGAAAGATGGAATCAATCTGTTATTGATGGATTTCCATGTGTTGCTGAATATATTAATCCACCAGCGACATCAGAAGATGAACGTAGACAAATTGATACTAAAACTGTTATGGATGAACTTTTACTAAAGTTAATTTTTTTTCTATTGTTTTTTATTTTAATCAAAATTTGTATTTGCTTTTAAAATAGGATTTGTGCTGGAGAAGAAGCAGAAGAAGGCCATGAATTTCGTGTCCGTGCATCGGATGAATATTATCAAGAAAATGCTCGTGAACCAAGAGAAAAATTTGGTGAACAACCAAAATATAATATTGATGAATATTGGTGCGCTATACATGTTTTACAAACACAATATACTTTACAAATTATTCGTTGTAATTCAGTCGAATGTTGTGGTGAATGGCGTTCAAATTATGGTGAAATATTTCCTCATCGATTTTTACCATCACCTGTACCATTCGAACGTACACCACATGGTCTTAGAATGGCAGAGAGAGATTATCAAAGAGGACAATTTTATGGATCATTATTTCAACGAATTCAATATCATGGTGTTGTTATTCAACATACACAGGTTAAAAGAAAAAAAAAACTTTTATTTGCTGTTATTTATCAACAATTGAGTAGAAAAACGACCAGTTAGATTAACTACAAATCGAAATAGGTCCGTTCTTAGTCTCGATCATGCCTAACGGCCTGTGGCACATGAAATAGATAAAATTTAGACATGGACGAGATTGGGATTGTTTTTTTCAATCACAAAATCATATCGAAGTACTTATAGACAATCCTAGACAATTATTTCAAACTCTGTACCGAGAAATTTCAGTGAGTTCAGAGGTATTCTTTGGATAAAATTAACAAAAACTAGTATCATGTCATCAATATCTAATTATAAGAAACAAAAATAAAGTCAATTGTTTATATTTGTCAAAGTAGAAACAAAAAAGTCCTTTATTACACCATTAATTTATCCTTACTGCTCACTTTATATTAATAAAAACAAAACGATTTTTTTTTCAGAATGAAATGTTACCATTTGATTTTTGTTGTTCATCAGTAAAAAAGGAATTAGGAAAACGTATGTGTAAAATATGTAATCAATATATTCCATCAGCATATCGCATGAAAAATCATTATAAAATTCACGCACAAGATCATGGAAATGTTGATCATAATCAATATGATACATTATCACTACCAGCAAAATTAACTGATATAAAAACAAATTCAAATGAAAATCAAGCAACAACAACAACAGCACCAGCACCTATACTTAAAACAGAAATGTTAGATTGGCTTCGATCAGATTTTGATCGTTGTGATACGAGTGTAGCATCAACTCAACTTACAACTGATCGTGTTACACGTTCAATGAAAAAATTACATGTTCAAGAAAACAAAAATGAACACGACAATAAGGATAGTGTGCATGTAGAATAAGAACATTCAACATGTTTATTATCTACAATATATTCACTTTTAATTATTACTAAAGTTTAGTTTTATAGTCTTATTTTTTTTTGTGATTAGCTCTTTTTGAATTTGCATGCATTTGTTTTAATATAAGGATTTTCTTATGAAAAAATGTTTTAATATACAAGCAAAAATTCTCTTGAATTATGATGAATATAGATATCTTTTAAATATTGAGAACGGAAAACGAATCAAACCAGATTTCTCTAGATCGAATTCGATTGAACTTGGGTGTGAGATGCGAGTGGAGATTGGGATAGTTCTTCTCTTCACCGACACCCACATTCTGGTGCTCGATTGGGTATGATATTTTCAGAAATTGCTTCCAATTGTACTGTGACAGAAACATTAGTTGTGCGTTTTGCTGCAATATTGAGCGCAGACATTAGTGCCAAAATTATGACCGATTATTTATAGATTAACTTAAACTTTTGTTTTTGTCAACATTTTTTTTTTTAATATTCAGGGTTTAGAAAATTGTAATTAGTTTAACGACGAAAGCTTTCCACTATTATCTTTTTCATCGTGTTTAATCATTGAATTGGACAGTCGAGATTTTTTTGCGTTTTGCTTTTCTTCATGTTTGAAACATTTTTAAAAAATATATAATTTAATTTAGCTTAATTATCAATAACAGAGACGAGAGCAATTTTAAACACGAAAACATTGGCTTCTACAAATAAGTTACACATATACTTTTATTTTTATTTCTTTGACATTGTTTAAAATATGTTTCATTTTTAAAGTGGATGTAACCAAAGACTACTTGCACAGATCAACGGATTGTATTTAAAATAAAACTATATGGTTACAAATTTAGAATTACGACCTAACAGGTTGCCTATTGATTTTCTAAAACGAAACTTGTGTTCAGACTTGAAACAGATTGACATATTTGATGTTTATTGTAAAAACTGCTTTGCACTAATTCTTTGATATTTTTCAATTCGTTACAATACGCTGCTGAACAAAAAATAGTCGAAATTATCGTTTTAATACTTATGATTTGGTAGCCATCAAAATACTTTCATAAGGATTAAAAAAATTCGTTAAATATTTGATTTCTATGATAGTTCATCGTTCCAATGATCAACTGGAAAATATGCAATCAATTTATTTGACTGCTAAAAAATTTTTAACGATTCCTTGGATACCATTATAGTAGTACTCGAGGGTTGGGTATAGGTCTGCGGCTACAAGTACACTCCGCACCCACACCCTAATAAAACAAGTTCAAACAATTCAACAGAAAAAGACAAATCTATCATACACATTTAATCCAGTCAAGTGAATAATGGAGAAATGACCATCAGAATGTATTATTTTCCATAGCTATACTGTTTCGTAGTCACTTATACTGTTGTTCGGAGTTTTGAGCTGAATTAATAAATGTTTATGATCTCTAAAAATTATATGGATCATTAGTATTTACTTGTTAGTTGATTTTCTTGTATACGACAGTCTAGAACACACTTAACATTGGTAAGGGGTGTGTGGATGTGTGTAATCATCTGGACGTCAGTGTATCATATAAACATATGACTGACGCTAATGGATATCTTGAATATTATAATACTGCATTAGAATTTTATAAAAAAGCACTCGAAATTCAGATAAAATCATTTCCATTATAACATTCTGAGGGTGCGTGTTGGGTGTAGGTGCGAGTGAGTATTATTTTCTACCAGATCCACCCCCTACTCCATAGTGATTCATAAGGCTATGTAAACACTAACTGAATTGTTTTACAACAATATATCACTCAGCGTTCGAGAACAGGTGTTTTTCGTTCGGAAAGATATTCATCTATGTATGGATTTCTTTTGATTTTATATACAAGAGACAAATTTGAGACATATTCTGAACTTATAAAATCATTAATTCAATATAGTTCAATGCGATGGGTTGTCCTTCAACAGATAATTCCAGTTGTTGACTTGCAAATTTAGGAAAGACCAAGGCTGTTATCGTATATTTGCCACCATTAATGAATACTTCGACTGAGCATCGATCTACTATCAGTTGTAGCTTCAGAATACCTGTTATTAATGTTTCATCATCGAGTGATGCTCTAAATTTTTTAAAAAAGTTAGAATTAAAATTGATATTACCAGAATGAGTACGATCGAATTCCACTTGATTTGTTACACCTAGATATATAATTTCTGTATACTCGCGTTTGTCAAAACTTTGTCGAACATGTAATCGTATAACTGTGTCTTTCGTAATGTTTTGAAATTCTGTTAACATTATAAATGCATGACTAGAGATATTCCGTAAGATATTTGATGTGCTTGATGTGAGAATTTGACGATGAAATTTAAAAAATTTTCTTGAATACGAATAAACTTCATAAACAGGTAATTGTTGAAGAAGATACTTTTTTGTAAATGAATTATAAGCAAGATTTAACTGACGAGGAATACTCATTTGACCCCGCCACAATGGAGCTGTTGGAAGATCTTGTGCATATTGCCAATTATTCATCCACGAGATAAGTATTTGTCTTCCATCATATCGTGGAACATTATGATAAGTAATACCTGCATAAAAATCAGGTCCATAATCAAGCCAGTTTATAGTATTTGATGATTGAAGATTTTGAAATGTATTTCCATTGAATGTACCGATAAAATACCTCATACCTGTACCACCAGCAATCGCATTGTTTCCCACAGATACTAATAAAATCCATAGGCTAGTTTGATTTTGTACTGTTGTCGGCGAAAACTCGATCAAGTCTGGACATTCCCAAAGGCCTCCATGGGAAACATGTTCATAACCAAAACGAGACGTAAGTATCCAATGAATGAGATCGGTAGATTTATAAAATTGTATATGATTTCCGGCAGTTAAAACCAAAATCCACGAAGAAGTCGCTTCATGAAAAATGACTTTCGGATCACGAAAATCGGCTTTCATAGATTGAATATTGACAATATCCGATTTTGAAATGCTACTGTTCAATGTGATAATCGGATTCAAATGATATTTAGTCCAAGTTCGCCCTCAAAACAGATTAGAAAATGTGAATAAGACAAAACAAAAGTCTTGGATCCATATCATAATTAGCTTTCTGAAACTCAACATAAATGTTTGTTTTGATATTTTATTACCTCGATCGAGACTATAAGCCATATGTTGTTCTTGACATTGTAGTTTTTTCCATGTATAAATCGCAATCATTGTATGTATGGTTGTTTCTTTTTGACATCCAGTAACATTCTTTGAATCGATAACAACTGAACCTGACCAAATACCAACTTCTTCATCTTCGGGTTTTATTGCAATCGGCAGATCGATCCAGGTAATCAAATCTTTGCTAACTGCATGACCCCAATGAATATTCATCGGTTTAGGTTGTTGAGGATAATGTTGATAGAAAAGATGCCATTCACCATCATAATAAATAAGTCCATTCGGATCATTCATCCAATTCCTTTTGGGTGAAAAATGAATTAAAGGTCGGTGTGGATGAAAAAACGTTGATTCAATTGTCTAAAAAAAAGTGTATGACAATCAAAACCCATAACAACAAAAATAGGTTCATTTTGCCTTTGGTAAACTGTTGCACATGGGCACATACTGATATAGCCGGCTAGAGAAAACAATAATTTGTACCGGTATTTATAATGTATACATGCATACCTGGATTTTCCATAATACGAGGCAGCATATTTTATGATCACAATCAATGTACATGCACAGACAAATATATAAAGTATCCTTTGTGATGGATTGTTAGTGCACTGTTCAAAAGGAGTTGGCATAATGAATCTATTTGTCAAAGGAATAGTAAATGTCTTGTTTTTATATGGAAAGATCGACTTAAAACACATGCCGCATTTTTTTCTGAAAAATTTCGAAATAAAAATGCCAAAAATAAAAACATCGAAGTATAAAAATATCGAAACTAAAAATTTTGAAAATTTAAATATCAAACCATGTAAATATTCAATAAGAATATCGAGAATAAAATATTGTGAAGAGAAAGGTGGGAGATCAGGAAGGGGCGATGTAGTAGGAGTGACTGGACTGTGCTGCAAGTCAAAGAAAAACCAGTCAGTCTGAACTACTTCTGTTTACTTAAATAACTTGTCAAAGAATCGTGGCGAGCCAAAGTAAACAAAAACCCTGAAATCAAACACTTTAGCCATTATTCATAAAGCGGTTCCTTTCTGAGTATAGAGAAATGGCTTTTTTGACGTCTTAGTGTAAACCGAGCGAGTTAGACTATTTATTCGATTTTCAGAAATCTCTTTTCACCCAGTTATAGAAAACACAGTTCAAAACGATTTATAACAGTCAAATATACAGCCTATTTTTTTCTGTCTAGAAGTCAGTCAAAACATTTGTTTTTTTTCACAACAGTTTTTCGTGTGTACAAACGACATTTTAATCCTGCTTTACTCGAAAAGATCAGAAATACTTCGCCATATTATAGTCAAATGGACTTTATTTATCTCTCAAAGAACGTCGCTTTTTTGTTTTCTACGGAAAAAGCTATTAAATACAGCAAGAAATAGTACACATTAATCCTAAGAAGAACAGTAAAGTTCTGGGAGTCATGAATATTATAACGATCGCCAAATAAATGACCAATTTATTTTATTTCTTCTGTACAGTATGAACACTCGGGTGAAAAATAGTGCCTAGAGATAGAAGAAACGATAGAAGAGGGTGTGGGTGTGGGTATACCTGTTGATCATGTGTTGACCCACACCCATACCCACACCCACACCCACCTCTGCTACTCAGCTAGACATACGTGGGTTTTTTAGTGCATCAACCACTTCTCTTGCAGAGAACATAGTTTTAAGAATTAGTTTCAGTTACGTTTTTACCTTCGTAGAAACAAAAGCCACATCCGAAGGCCATGTTCGTAGAAACCCTGTGTTTTGTTTCGAGTGTCTAAGAACCAGATACTGTGTACTGCATTCCAAGGCTCAATAATTCAAACGTGGCTTCTAGTTCTAGGTTCTAGCATAATGGGAAAAAATTTTGAATCCTCTTTGTCAAGAACCTGAAAGCACATAGTGATCCGCACAGAAAGAAAGGAAACTTATTTCTATGCATTACAGATATCCCAGAACGCTTAAATATGTATTGTTAGATGTGTTCATGTTCTTCAAAGAACGAGTGTCTAAGAAGAGAAAACATTCACAACCATATTGTTAAGGTATGCTCATCAGAGATTATTATTATAGAAAAATGTAAATTGAATGATCAACGACATTATGCACTGTCTCAAATAAATTAGTAGCCTTGGGTAGAAAATGTTTCTTTTCAAGGTTGAAACACATACTTCTGCTTTTCTTCTTTAACCAAGCAACGATTGTTGTTAAACAAAAAATTGAAAGTAACCGACTGTTTCGTTAATTAGCAGAACAGCGAATATTCTTTTTTTGCGTTATGAAGCCTACTCGCATTTTTTGAAAGAGAACAGTTCATTAACAATGGAAGAACTTTTTTTTGTCAACAGTCATATGAAAAAAAATTTTTGTCGCTACAGCAATCAGTTTCTACATGTGGCTTCACACATCAAGTGCATGGAATAGTATTTTTTTTATGCTAAAAAATACTTTTGCTGCACAGTTATCGACTCGGGTGTGGGTGTGTGTGTGAGAGTGTGAGCGGCGACAATATCTACATCCCACTGACACCCACACTCACACCCTAGATTATGCTGCTAAAATCGATCACAACTCACGCTTCATTTTTTTTGTCGTTCTCTTTCTTCACTGTGAAATTTGTTTTGCCAGCAAATAAAAAAAATGAAGATAAACGGAAAGAACCTAATAACTTGCAACAAGAGACTTCCTGATATCAACTGATGGCTTCATTCTAACCATGTAAAACTTTGTCCTTAATGTCAACCTAGTGCACTCTAACATCCGACTTGAGTATTAGTCTCATAGAGTCTCTCATAAATAGTTAGGCCGATCTTCGTGATCGTAAAATAGGCTGAAAAAACATCAATCGATAAAAATTCACACAATAAAGGATTAGTCAATAGTACGGCTTAGCAAGGGTGTGAGT